ATAACACTAAAACAAGTACCCGTGTTGAAAAGTGGTATCTATTTGAAAATAAATTGATTGTTAATAATTTTCTTCATCTGCATCTTCGGAAGAAGAAAACTCTGTGCTGGAATCTGTCGCATATTCGACAAACTGTTAAGCAATAATCTGGAATGCCGACACAAAATCAACCTAATCCTCCACTATGTTTTGTTTTTAAACCAAGAGGAGTAACCTAAAAAGTTTCACAGCCAAGAAAGTCGCTAGAAAAATCAGCAAATATATTATATCTTCTTTTTGGGTTGATCATGACGGCCTTCGACGGTAATCCATAAATATTATAGCAGTATAAAATTATTAAAGGTAAAAAAAAATAAAAGGTAAATTTGAATTACTCCTCCTGGTTTAAAAACAAGCCATAGGTTTGGCATATATACATAGGTTTGTTTGTTTGTTATAGGGTTTTTTTTCATAGGTAAAAGAGGGCATTGAAAATACTGTACGAAAAGGGAAACCCGAAATTTTGAAATATACATGTATCATATTGTAGCTCGCTGTGAGGTGTGTATCCAGCTAAAAACCTAAGAAACTATCCACGTGATTAATTTTTTTGTATTTTATGTGTAATAGAATTTTGCTGAACTCTGGATCATTTTTTGTAAAATAACAAATAATTTAAATTTTTTGTAACTGTGGTAAGGTGTCAACATTATTAAGTATGTCAAATATTCACCTATTTTTGATCTATTTTTATTTAATACAAGGTAGACATAAACAAACAAAATATTTCCACCAGTGGGAAGAAAATGCCTTATAAATAGAAATAGAACTATGTATTGTGTTTTAAAAATAATACATAATTAAAATGAAATAAAAATAAAGAGTTATTTTTGGTCCAAATAGACCACCGTAGTGCGGTTTTGTTATTATTTGAAAGTCGTCTAATTAAAATTAATTTATTGTAAGTACCAACTTACCTGTTGCTTTAGCTGTCTTTTCTTTCACAGTTTTTCGGGTCTCTGCTTCGAGTTTAATATTTTTGAAATAATTAAACACATTAAATATCGACTGGTCCAACGAAGACTGTAGTAACTCATTTTTTATGTAATTGAGATAATTATAAAAATGTATTTACACTGTTACCAAAATTCATTAATCTGTTAAATGGATGTTTTTATAGCATTAAGTGATACTTTTAATAATGATCTTACCAGGGTAAAACAGATTTAAGACAGAAATGGTCATAAGTGACTTTTGAATGAGTTACTATAGTTTTCGATGGAGATATTTTTAAAGTAATAAATACCAGAATTATTTGTTTCTTAACTTTATTTATATAAAATGCTACATTTTGAAGAAGCTACTGATATAATTTGCAGTTTTATATTTTAATTCAATTTTCCTCATCCGACTCTTCTTCGCACTCAACTGTATCAACTTCGAGCTCGACTTTAGGAGGTACATAACTCTTTGAATTAAGATTTTTATAAAATCCATGGTACATTGTGGGTATTTTGCCGGTATTACACAGCCACAGTAATTCTTTTAGGTTTTTTTCTTCAATTGGTAATGGTGCATCATACAGTTTCGGTGGAAATTTGATAGTAGTGGAAGGCCGTCCTCTGCATTTTCGATTTAATTTTATGTCACAACCTCTAAAACCATCATCGAATTCGTATTTAAACATTATAGAATTTTGGTGTTCATGCGAAAATTTTAGATCTCGTATTTTGCTAACTTTTATTGATTTCTTTTCGTTGTCAAGTTTCCAATTCTCGGTATCAGTCAGTTTTTTAAAATTAAAAAAATTATCTTGGGACATTTCCTTGGGACATTCCGTATCATCATAAACTCTTCCTGTAGTTTTAGCCATTCTAACTAATGTAACCCACTGTTCTGGCACATATACAACCGATTGCCTTTTCTTTGCATTTTCGATAAAAGCATGCATACTGTCACCCTCGTTCTGAGTGTGGCCTTTTTCCAGAAATCTGTGAACAATATCAATATGAAAATGAGCAGCAGCAAAAGCAAACATCGAAAACACAAAACGATTCCTATTTTGTCCCCCACAGTTGTCTGAGTAGAATATTATCGTTTTAACACTTTGTTGTGCCTTAAGATCTAAAAATTTCCAGAGGCAACTGGCAATTTCATTAGCACCTCTTTTAGCCACCTGCTCGTGCCATACATAGCAGTAACCCTGATTATTTCCAACATCATAAACTGTAAAGTTATATGTCGAGTATTTGCTTTTGTAGTAAAAATCACTTACGTTAGACAAAGGGGTAGCTAAAACCTTTTGAAGGTCAAAGCAAGCCATACACAAGCTCTTACCATCTAGTGCAAGCTGTTTGTCTATGTCTTTTAAGTTTCTGATAACTTCTTTGTTTTTCATATGGGACTCATATTGTTCGAGCAATTTTGCTTTTTTAGCATCACTAGCCATATTAAAAACAGAACAAACAGTACACTGGTCCTTTTTTGGTTTAAAGAACCCAATACTGAACTGTTCATTGAAAATATCTCTATACTGGCGTGACGTGGCAGCTGTAGTGATGTTATTTTTTTCGCAATGCTCGTTGTACAATCGGTACATTTTCTGGATAGTTAGCCCTTCTTCAAGGTACATCTTCATCGTATTCTTACGGGTATAATGGAAAGGTACTACAGGAAACTGATTTATGTGATTTTTTACGTTGTCTATAAGTTCTGGTGATAGTTTTTGTGGTCTGTTAGTGTGCTTTCCACGTTTATCTTCCTCTAATGATCCACCATCTTTCAGTTTCCTTAATGCTGTAGTGATCCAAGTTTCTGAAACGTTAAGGGTTTCCAAAAACATAGTTTTGCAAACACGTTGTTTTTCATTGCGAATGTAGAAGTAATATTCTCGAGAGTAATTTCTTCGAGATCGTTGTTCTGCAGTAATAGTTACTTGTTTTTTGGCAACCTGTCTGACATGACGAGCAATAAAATCCCACTTTCTCGTATGATCTTTTAACTTCCAAAATTCATTGAAAAAAAGGTCTCTATCTTCTTTAGCTATTTTGGTAGCACATTTTAGTCTACATGTGTTTGCGCATGGTGCACCCATCTGTCTTCCTTTAATTTGAATACCTTTTTGATTTTCATGTTCAAGTCCCAGGTGTAGACTTGTTTTAGATTTTTCATCCGCCCACTTACTAACGTCTCTAATTCTTTTCCTACTTACTCTCTCTATATTGCCTCTGCTTTTTCTCTTTCTATTTGTGGTTGCTTCAGTTATATTCTTATTAGGTTCAATTATTACTTCAGGGATGCTTTTGTCTTTTGTCGGAATGTAATCTGGGTCAGTATCAGAGTCTGCATGAAATGGTTCCTCGTCGCTTACCTTCTCAATTATTTCATTTTCATTCCTATTGGCTTCATTCTCTTCTAAGCTAAACTAAACTAAACAAAACTAAAATTAAACAAAAATGAGGTAAATGCCTACGTAATATTTTTTCATGCGGAATTTAAACCAACCTGTAGAACATTCAGAATTAATATCAGTCTCGTGGTCACCAGGATCCTCATTCGCCTTTTTGTATTTGCTTTCTTCTACAATACTTTCAGCAATATGTTTACCTTAAAAAATAAGTACGTTTTTAGTTTGCTGTTATTATTTTAAATAAAGTTTATTATAAATTTACCTTCAAAAGAACGATAAAAAATATCCGTTTCAGTGTTTTTATACGCTTTCTCAGCTAATTCCAATATTAACTCACTTCTGGAACACATTATGGCAATTATAACAAAACTAAACTTTTGAACATAATTTAAACTAACGCAGAATACCGTAGTAACTCATGTTACGATACCTATGCTATCGCCTCAGATAACAACGAAGACTATTGTAACTCAAGATACGATGATTTTCTACGGTTGTTTTTCATAAATCGGAGATACTATAAAACTCTTACACGTAATATAGGTTGCATAACTACGTTTACTGAGATACGATTCTTTCCTGGGGAAGATATCATTATGTTTTGTTGTTTTGCGCTCGTAACTCAAAAAGTGGAAAATTTGAGTTACTACAGTCTTCGTTGGACCAGTTGTGATGTTATTCCCTAAATATTAGAATTCACATATATAAAATATTATAATTCATACCCGTGTAACATTTAACATTCTGTTTATATAAATATATTTAGTAATTTGAATCAAGGACATTCATAAATAACATACTCTAATTAGAATTGGTAGTCAGCACTATTGCCGATCACCACATGCTTGGCGTAGGTCATAAACACACTTGACATACTAATAAGTAAACCTTTGCTGATATAGCAAGGACTTCTATAAAAGCCCCAACAATCATTCTCTCAGGGATCTTAATTAATGTACCGTCAAAATGGCAAGTTAATGCCGCATATAGTCAGCGTCAATTAAGTACTGAAATATTTAGATTAAGTAACATTAAAGAGTGTACAGTAGTGATAAATAAATGGTTAACTAAGTACAACAACAAGTTATTTACCACCCTACAACATTATTTATTACACAGTCGATATAATCTCCCGAGATTGTCCACTAATATCAGAATTATTCTTTCTACTATTTTTTAACGCCATCGTTAGAAATTGTCACAAATACACTTAAATATCCGAAATATTAAGAAGTCTGAAAAATAATAGCCGCAAATCACTTAAGTGTTACGCACCTGATAACTGGGAGGTGACTAAAGACCACCACCTAAGCCACTAAGATATTTTGGGTTTGTGCTCACCGCCAAGTTAGCAGACGATGACAGTATGTATTGAAATCTTTAATACAATTATAATTTCTGGCTTTACTTTTCTATACATAAATATAAATTGTATTATCTAATAACAAAGGTGACCAATTTTCAGGATGTTCCCTTGTTCGAAGGAATTTATTCTGATTTGTTTCCTGGAATCGAAATTCCCAAATTTGAACGTGCAGAGCTCATTGAATGTTTAAAAAATGAAATTAATAAAAGAAATTTACAACCTACACCATGGTTCGTAGATAAATGTATGCAGATATATGAAATGATTTTAGTCAGACACGGTCTGATGATCGTTGGCAGACCTATGGGTGGCAAAACTTCTGCATATCAGGTAAGTATATAAAGAAGATTTTAAATTTTGCCAGCCATTAATGGCATAATTTTTTCCAATTGAGTTCGTGGATCTAGTGTTGTGTCCTCAAACTGCAAGCTTCTCATGATCAATAAGAACCGATTGCGGTTTATAAAGGACGAAAAACACTATAGGTTGAACAGATAATTTTTTCCAATAGTCTTTCATTCGGTTAAATTTGATAGTCCCCATATGAAAAACTATACCTAAAAATCTTTTTATTTTCGTTACATTGACATCATACCATGACGGTATTTTTGGTTTACTTTATAAGCTCTAGGCAATTAAATCGACGGTATATTTGCTAGGCTTCTCACACAACATGTCAAAAAAAATCATCTGTCACTAGAAGTTGGAAGTAATCAAAAGGGTTTGTGTCAGAGAAGAATTTACGTCAACCAAAAAACCTGCTGTCTTAGTAAACGGCAAATCTTGATTTGGAATTTCAGTAAAACTCCAATTATTTTGTGCAATATTCTCCATGTCTGAGGAAACTGTCGGAGTAGATGAACAATCATAGGAAACTATAGGGGTAGATGAACAACCGGGAATTGGTGAGTGTTGTAAAGTTAAGTGTTTTTCCATCACCATCACTACTATTTTCGAAGGGGTTTATCTCGTTGTCCAATTCTTCCAAAGCAGCTAATAATTCAGCTTCTGTTCGTTTACGGGGTTTTTAAAATCATATTTTACCATTTTTGAAGGTTCTGGTTGATTTCCAATAATTTCTGTAAGCAAAAAATATTATTACTCGCACTCTCTGTGCTGATCAACGCCTGTCGGGCGGTCAATGTCATTTTTTCTATTTTTTTGTACACTATGAAATTATTGTTATTAATAATATCACATATTAATAATATAACAATATTGTTATTATTAATATCATCATATTATTTATACATATATAAATGTATCAAATAATTAATTAGTATAAAAATTAATAAATAATCATAAATACACACAAAACCAAATCGAATACGTGGCAGACGGAATACTGTCAAATTCATGTCCTTAAATTATTGTCATCAAGTGCCCTAAGCTATCCACCAAAAGCAAGCACTTGATGTGCATTCGCTCTGCCCACTTCGTCTTGGAAATTGTGTATAAAATGTGCAGAATTTTCAAGTCGAAATGAGGTCCAATGTTTTTAGTCACCATCAACGAGGAAGATGACAAAAAAATTAAAAATGTTACAAATCTTTGCTACATGAAAATTCATGTAGAGGATGAGATAAAAAATACAAAGGAAACCATGCAGTGTTACAACTGTCAAGGCTACTATCATAGCTCCAAGGCTTGTCATTGTGAAGCTAAATGTGTGAAGTGTGGACAAGAACACTTAAGCAGTGAATGCAATATGGACACTGCCCCTAAATGGGAGAAATACTGCCCCTAAAACACAACCTAAAGGCAAACCAATCAACAGCAACACAGTAAATAAAAGTGTAAGATATGCACAGGCTACCAAAAACACAGCCAAGGAAGAAAATTCTACAGCTGCAACAGAAGCAGCAGCGTTAATTGCGAGTTTTAACTCCGATTTTAGCGCAAAATGGCGCATGTCTCCGCAATGATGAAGCAACTTACACAGGTAATGATAGCAATGAGCAGCTTTGGTAAGCAATGTTAGCACACCAGTCGGAGGATCTTCGCATTGGGTCTTGGAACTCAGGTGGATTGTTCACAAAATTAAATCTTCTTGACGAATTTGCAAATAGACTAGAATTAGATATCATAGCACTTCAAGAAACCAAATTAGTGGAAAAAAAGAAGACCAAATTCCCAGGCTATAATATCTACAGGACAGATCACCTAGCAAACTCGGGAGGAACAGTCATTATGGTCAAAAAAGGAATAGAAAATCAAAATATACCAACTCCAGGCGGTTTAGTTACCATGGAAGCCACGATAGTTCGTCTTATCGCTGGAAACGAGACACTAAAAATCGTCTCAGCATATGTATGCAAGATCACCCAATTGGTACGACAGGAGAACCAATGGTAATGGAAGACGGCTCTGTGGCTATCTCGAAACAAAAAACAACACTTATGTGGTAGGATCAGTGGATCCAACTTGCTACAACGGAGTAGCTCAACCAACTCACCTCGACATTGCAATCCTACACAACGTGGGTCAACAATATAAAATACATTCATTAAATGAAGGAGATTCAACACATAATTTAATCGTACTGACCCTGGGAGCTATAGATATAAATCAACTAGAGCCCCGAAAAAAGAAAATAACCAGCTGGCCAAATTATAGAAGACTGGTGAGCGAGAACATCGGTGCAATACCCACTATTAATAACATAATAGAGCTGGAAAATAGTGTGAAAAAATTAGAACAAGTCATAATCCATGCCATCGATGCCAGCTCAAAAGAAGAACCAATTATTACGAAACAAGGAAGATTCAAAGATATCAGCCCAGAATTAAGAGAATTAATCTTACAGAATAAGGACACAAGAAGACAAAAGGATTGCAAACGAGCTAAACAGAGAAGTGAAAAGGCAACTACAAGTCCACAACAGTGAAAGCTGGGAATCCTATATCCAGGAGTTAAATCCAAATAATTCCGGCTTCTGGAAGCTATCCAAAGTGTTAAGAAAAGACAAGAAACCCATCCCACCACTACACGGAGAAAACGGAATTGTCTACACTGAACAAGACAAAGCAGAAGTCCTTAAAGAATAATTTGAAAAAGCATGCAGGAACAACGAACATCCACACGAAGACATCGACTTCACTATACAAGTCGAAAACACAGTCAGGAGGCTAAAAAGAAGAAAGGGCAGAATCGGAATAACACATACATCTCCCGAAGAAGTCAAAAATCTAATAAAAGCAACAAATGCTAAAAAAGCTTCAGGACCGGACAACATTGGTAACAGAGCACTCAAGAACCTACCAACAAAGGGAGTAGTATACATCACAAACATCATTAATGGTATACTAAAATTAAGATACTTCCCGGACAGATGGAAGGAAGCTCATGTTATGATGATAGGAAAGCCAGGAAAGGACGGCACTTTTCCACAAAACTACAGACCTATTAGCTTACTATCATCAGTAAGCAAAATATCGGAAAGAGTCATATTACATAGACTAAACGAAGAATCGCTAGCTTTGGGATCTATTCCAGATCTATTCGGTTTCAGGACCGAACATTCATTTGAACTACAAGTTTTGAGGCTGACAGAATATATCACTAAAGGTTTCAACGAAAAGATGTACACAGCAACGGCGTTCCTCGATGTGAGTAAGGCTTTTGATAGGGTATGGCATCAAGGTCTGCTCTATAAAATGAGCAGCCTAGGCTATAGTGAAGCGATGACATGTCTTCTTGCATCATACCTAGCTAACAGAAAGTTCAGAGTTCAAATAGGTTTAACCCTATCTGAATTAGGGACCCTGGAAGCAGGTGTGCCCCAGGGAGCAGTGTTATCGCCTTATCTGTTCACTATCTATACAGCTGACACTCCGACAGACCCGAGAACTATGGTTAGCCTATATGCGGACGATACAGCCATAGCAGCTAGCAGTAGAGATACAAACCTAGCTGCCAGCCACCTACAAAGCGCTCTGAATAGGTTCCAAAGATGGTGCATAAAGTGGAAAATTGCACTAAATCCTGACAAGATACAGGCCGTTATGTACAGACACAGGATAAGGAGACCAGACAGGGAAATCACTATAGGAAACACCCCTGTAGAATGGACGAACGAGGCCAAATACCTCGGAGTCATTTTAGACAGAAAGCTCACTTTCACAGAACACGTAAAACAAACTGTCTACAAAGCAAAAGCACTAAGAAGTCAACTCTCTTCGCTAATCGGCAGAAAGAGCAAACTTTGCTTTAAGACAAAAATGAGGGTAGCTAATAGTATAATACTACCCTCCCTAACATATGCATCTGCCGCATGGGGACACACATGTAAAACGAATAGGAAGAAAATCCAAACAACACAAAACTGGATAATCAGAGAAGCACTGAACTTACCTCAATACGTTTCACTGAGGTATTTATTCAGGGACTCTGTACAGACAAGAATCCTAAGGACAATGGACGAAAGACTAAATACCATTTTCAATGATTTCGTAAATCATCCAAGCAGGACATTAAGAGAGTTGACAAACTACGATATAAACACTAGAACGGTACATAAACGGCCGAAGCAACAACTAATTGGATATAGAGAAGAAGGATAATTGAAGAAAGAGATAGACACAGAGCCGACTACAGAGTATATTAGACAGTGAGCACCAAAAAAATATATAGTATATAAGAACAATATACACCGGGGTGTGTGCAGGCACTATACACCCGGAAATGCACACCCCACCACACGCACACTTAGGTTAGATTACATTTAGATTAGAATAGGGAAAACAAAAAACACAAAAAACATATACACGGAGTGTGTGAGAGCGTTATACACTTGGGAATGCACACTCCATAGTTAAGGTATTAGCATAGATAGACTTAGTTTTAAAAAACAAAAATCGCTCACTGTCTAATTATTGTCATGTCATCTTCAAGATAAATAAGAACACCCGCTACATCACAAAATTTACATAACACAAATAAGAATGTATAAAAGGCCCGTCAGGCACTCTATACCAGCCAGCAGGCATAAGCCCTTCAGGCAGATCAAATATTGATCAAACGCGGACTCTGAGCATCGAGGTCATGTGCGGCAAGCATAGGCTCGGTGGCCAGGACTCACTTCTCGAACACCCAGCCGGCGAGGAGAACAAAATTTTTATTTTGTCCAATCGGCGACTGAGTGAACGAGCACACACATTCTTTTCCAGACAGAGAGCTGTCGGTCTAGACCGATGGCTCTCTGTTTGGAACACACGCTTTCTTTTTAGGGACATGAGTTCCGAAGTAAAGCTAGAGTAACTTCTATAGAGTCAGTAAAGTTAAATAGGGAGAAAACCGACATGTGTGCTACCCCTAAAGTTAGGTGGCCTAACCACAGTCATTAAAAATAGAAAGTGTCTAATTACCCAAGACACCTTACGTAACATTCAGATCATAAGCCTCCTCACGTAAGTCACACGCTGAGGAGGGGTGGAGGAAAAGCCTGGGGGTCAGATAGGTACCACCTCAACTAGTGAGGTGTGACCGGTTTGATTTTCGGACATGTGGATCCCACTCTTACAGTGGTATACACATGTCCCTAGGGGTAGGGTTGATCGCATCGCGTGATTGTGTGTGTGTGTGTGTGTGTGTGTGTGTGTGTGTGTGTGTGTGTGTGTGTGTGTGTGTGTGTGTGTGTGTGTGTGTGTGTGTGTGTGTGTGTGTGTGTGTGTGTGTGTGTGTGTGTGTGTGTGTGTGTGTGTGTGTGTGTGTGTGTGTGTGTGTGTGTGTGTGTGTGTGTGTGTGTGTGTGTGTGTGTGTGTGTGTGTGTGTGTGTGTGTGTGTGTGTGTGTGTGTGTGTGTGTGTGTGTGTGTGTGTGTGTGTGTGTGTGTGTGTGTGTGTGTGTGTGTGTGTGTGTGTGTGTGTGTGTGTGTGTGTGTGTGTGTGTGTGTGTGTGTGTGTGTGTGTGTGTGTGTGTGTGTGTGTGTGTGTGTGTGTGTGTGTGTGTGTGTGTGTGTGTGTGTGTGTGTGTGTGTGTGTGTGTGTGTGTGTGTGTGTGTGTGTGTGTGTGTGTGTGTGTGTGTGTGTGTGTGTGTGTGTGTGTGTGTGTGTGTGTGTGTGTGTGTGTGTGTGTGTGTGTGTGTGTGTGTGTGTGTGTGTGTGTGTGTGTGTGTGTGTGTGTGTGTGTGTGTGTGTGTGTGTGTGTGTGTGTGTGTGTGTGTGTGTGTGTGTGTGTGTGTGTGTGTGTGTGTGTGTGTGTGTGTGTGTGTGTGTGTGTGTGTGTGTGTGTGTGTGTGTGTGTGTGTGTGTGTGTGTGTGTGTGTGTGTGTGTGTGTGTGTGTGTGTGTGTGTGTGTGTGTGTGTGTGTGTGTGTGTGTGTGTGTGTGTGTGTGTGTGTGTGTGTGTGTGTGTGTGTGTGTGTGTGTGTGTGTGTGTGTGTGTGTGTGTGTGTGTGTGTGTGTGTGTGTGTGTGTGTGTGTGTGTGTGTGTGTGTGTGTGTGTGTGTGTGTGTGTGTGTGTGTGTGTGTGTGTGTGTGTGTGTGTGTGTGTGTGTGTGTGTGTGTGTGTGTGTGTGTGTGTGTGTGTGTGTGTGTGTGTGTGTGTGTGTGTGTGTGTGTGTGTGTGTGTGTGTGTGTGTGTGTGTGTGTGTGTGTGTGTGTGTGTGTGTGTGTGTGTGTGTGTGTGTGTGTGTGTGTGTGTGTGTGTGTGTGTGTGTGTGTGTGTGTGTGTGTGTGTGTGTGTGTGTGTGTGTGTGTGTGTGTGTGTGTGTGTGTGTGTGTGTGTGTGTGTGTGTGTGTGTGTGTGTGTGTGTGTGTGTGTGTGTGTGTGTGTGTGTGTGTGTGTGTGTGTGTGTGTGTGTGTGTGTGTGTGTGTGTGTGTGTGTGTGTGTGTGTGTGTGTGTGTGTGTGTGTGTGTGTGTGTGTGTGTGTGTGTGTGTGTGTGTGTGTGTGTGTGTGTGTGTGTGTGTGTGTGTGTGTGTGTGTGTGTGTGTGTGTGTGTGTGTGTGTGTGTGTGTGTGTGTGTGTGTGTGTGTGTGTGTGTGTGTGTGTGTGTGTGTGTGTGTGTGTGTGTGTGTGTGTGTGTGTGTGTGTGTGTGTGTGTGTGTGTGTGTGTGTGTGTGTGTGTGTGTGTGTGTGTGTGTGTGTGTGTGTGTGTGTGTGTGTGTGTGTGTGTGTGTGTGTGTGTGTGTGTGTGTGTGTGTGTGTGTGTGTGTGTGTGTGTGTGTGTGTGTGTGTGTGTGTGTGTGTGTGTGTGTGTGTGTGTGTGTGTGTGTGTGTGTGTGTGTGTGTGTGTGTGTGTGTGTGTGTGTGTGTGTGTGTGTGTGTGTGTGTGTGTGTGTGTGTGTGTGTGTGTGTGTGTGTGTGTGTGTGTGTGTGTGTGTGTGTGTGTGTGTGTGTGTGTGTGTGTGTGTGTGTGTGTGTGTGTGTGTGTGTGTGTGTGTGTGTGTGTGTGTGTGTGTGTGTGTGTGTGTGTGTGTGTGTGTGTGTGTGTGTGTGTGTGTGTGTGTGTGTGTGTGTGTGTGTGTGTGTGTGTGTGTGTGTGTGTGTGTGTGTGTGTGTGTGTGTGTGTGTGTGTGTGTGTGTGTGTGTGTGTGTGTGTGTGTGTGTGTGTGTGTGTGTGTGTGTGTGTGTGTGTGTGTGTGTGTGTGTGTGTGTGTGTGTGTGTGTGTGTGTGTGTGTGTGTGTGTGTGTGTGTGTGTGTGTGTGTGTGTGTGTGTGTGTGTGTGTGTGTGTGTGTGTGTGTGTGTGTGTGTGTGTGTGTGTGTGTGTGTGTGTGTGTGTGTGTGTGTGTGTGTGTGTGTGTGTGTGTGTGTGTGTGTGTGTGTGTGTGTGTGTGTGTGTGTGTGTGTGTGTGAGAGTCGAAATGAGATCTCGTCGTTCACTCTACGGGTCACGACCTTACCGGTCGCTGGTCGGGGCTTTGCCTCACATTTAGACTCTGTAGTCAGTCTTTCTTCTTCAACCAGTGTTTTATTTATTTCATTCTTTGGTGCAAGTGCACGTAAGAAACCTGCAAAGTATTTTTCATATACGAAAATTTGACTTATCTTTTTCAAGACTTATGCTTGTTCATGTAAGAAATTGACTGTGTCTTTTTCAAGACAGTCCAACTTTAACTTTACATCCTCATCCAAACTGCCGCACATATTAATAGACGATTATATCAGCTGCCTACACAAACACCTCTCGGGCGATCGCGGCATTTTTGGGGAAGTCGGATGAACGCCGGAGAGGTGGTAGCGGACTTGAATGTGTTAAGGTCTGTCAGGTAATAAATACTTTATTACTTTGTTATCAGCATTAATTCGACCCTTCCTTGAAATATCCACAGAACACAAAGTACTTTCAGTCTTCATTTGTATAAAAATTTCTATTGTCCAACCACTACATTGCCTGTTAGTAAATTTTTAGGAACAGAATTAATAGCATTAATTTATAGCGTTTATATTTGCCTATATTTGCCACATTGTGTATCACTTATAGGGGGTTAAAACCGGGGACAAAAATTAAAGTGATAATAAATTTGTTGTTTATTACATCTTTGCTGATAAATTTGTAAGGCTGCTCCAATAAGCGAATTCGATTGAAGTCGCATCCCCCAGTTTGCAATTATATTACGGTGTATCATCATTCAGGCTTTTTTCTGTGATCTCGCCTAGGCTCATCTCACATACTCCACAATTTCTGCGTTGTCTTCTTTTCAATGTACATACATAACAGTCGCTTCTTTAACAATTCTTTTTAAGTATGATTGTAAACAACTAATTTTATGTATTTTTGAATATATTATATTTTTTAGAGCTTAGCAGGCGCTTTAGGTGCCCTTGCAAATGTGCCGAATGCTTCGTTGAAAGAATATGATGTAATTTACAAAATACTAAATCCAAAAGCTCTAACTATGGGCCAGCTCTATGGACAATTTGACCCGGTATCACATGAATGGTCTGATGGAGTTTTAGCAACTACATTCAGGTAAATAAAGAAGTCTGTTTTTCTTGTTTGTGAAATCCTTTTTGGTCAAATATATATAGATAAGTCAAATGATTTATACAGTGTCTACGTAAGTAGGAAACCATGTGGGAAACTTTTTTAATATTAATTTTACGAAAAAAAGTTATTCTTTATTAAAAGCTCTGCATGGTCTAAGACCTAAGAAGCAACCATCAGATATTAAATTATGTTAATCTTATACGAGGTATATAAAAAATTTCGCTCAAGAATAAAGACTAGCGTCTAGCCGTTGGCAGGTCAGGATAATCCTGACCAATCGCACCTGATTTTGTGTGTGGCGCGTCATTCAAATTATGTACAGGTTTGAATATAACAGTTCTCATTTCTCACATCACGAAACTTTCTTATATTGTTCACACAAATAAGGAGTTATGTTTAATTGTTTTGAATACACAGTTTTATTATTTTACATATTATAAATATTATCTTATTGTGAGTTGACAACAAGCGATCCCAACCAATTAAAAATCAGTCTACTGCGCAGTCGCATTGATCAATTTGTGTTATTTAGTTGAATTTGAATTTCAATTTTGAATTTCGTTACGAGACCCCGTGAAAAAAAAAAAAGAAAATGGATTACGAGTGCAACAACTGTAAAAAAGTGTTCTTAAATACCTCAAATTTACGCAAACATATTAAGAAGTTTCACCCAGAATTAGTGCAGGTGGAAGTAGTAAATTACAATTTTAAATGTAGAATATGTGGTAACAATTTCAACCACAAAAAACATTTACGTTATCATGAAAAAACTCACAAAAATGTTGTAGACACGGAAGATAGCAAAATCAACAAGGATTCTAAGAAGTGTCCTTTGTGTAATTTTCATTCAAGTTATGTTGCAGAATTGCACACTCACTTTCAAGAAGAACACAACCTAATCCTAGAAAGTGAAACACTTCAATTTTTCAATTTAGCCTCTTTTCAAGAGTGGAAATATTCTATTGAAAGTAGTACAAAAACCAAATACGGTAAAGTAGAGAACTTTTCCGCAAAGACTCACAAAACAATGAAGTTTCTGTGTCATCGGTCAGGCTGCTTTAATTCTGAAAGCAAAGGAAAGAGGCACTTAAAAATGAAAAGCAGTATAAAAATTGGTGGATTTTGCCCAGCAGGTCTCAAGGTTGTGGTTGATTTAGCAGAAAAAGTTAAAGTCAATTTTATAAAAACACACATTGGACATCAAACTGGTATTGGACAGTTACTTCTAAGTATATCTGAACGTCAGTCTATTGCTTATATTTGATTGTGGTTATTATTTTTATTATACAACATAACAACATTGATAACAACAACTATAGTGACAAGCAGACAAGCCCGCCCTTCGGTGCCCCTCTGTCTACTGTCTTGTCACTTGTTGTTAACTCACAATAAGATAATATTTATAATATGTAAAATAATAAAACTGTCTATTCAAAACAATTAATCATAACCCCTTGTTTGTGTGAACAATCCATCGAGTTAGAATCTATTGTAATTCTAACTCGATGAAACAATCTCAGAACGTTTCGTGGTATGAGAAATGAGAACTGTTATATTCAAACCTGTACATAATTTGAATGACGCGCCACACACAAAATCAAGTGCGATTGGATTGGTCAGGATTATCCTGACCTGCCAACGGCTAGACGCTAGTAGAATAAAGTACCTTTATAGTACACGAAATATAACAACCGATATTTCAGTATCGAAAATGATTATTGTGAAAAGTTGTTTAATGTTGAAAACTATGTTTCAATATGTAATTACATCCTTCTGAAAGTACCGATATCGAACATAATTTTTATTTATTACAAATATGATAATTCTTCCGTTTTCTTAAAAAATGATAAGTAAATTTTCAAAAACAGAACTAAGAGATTAATAACCTCTCAGTTAATTTCTGCCTTGCAACATATCTGTGTTAAGTATACAGAACAGAACAGAACAGAACAGTTAGCTGTATTGAAAGAGAATGCGGATATGTACATCTGTTAGTACACAAATTTTATTCTCATTTTTAACAAAATAGTTATAACAACCTATCGGACAAGACTTAGTGTAGTTAATCTACACAGTGGGACTACACGCGTGTCGGTCTAAAGGACCAAGCAGTGATAAATTTTAAAATGACGCCACTTGTATAGTGGTAATCTTTGTTTCAAGTTAAGAAAATAACATTACGCTTATGGAGATCAGTGTTGACAAAACTCTCAGACACTCTCTTTTGCACGGATGTCCAAGATATTCCCTTTGAATTTTCAATTTCAATTAACATTTAACTGTAAAGTCAGAATAACTACTAAATAAAAGCCTTATTATCATTATGTAGTCAGAGAACGACATAAAACCGCTGACATACGCACATCGTATTATTTTAAGTTGCAATTAGTAATTAGATATACGCATTAAAAGCGGTCCGTTTATTTGCTTTTAAAACTTTAATAGGCGGCAAAATGCATGATTTAACTAAGCAATATTTTCTACTGATTTCTATGATTCATGGCATATGATATTCTCACCGAAAAACAAATAAACTGTCGTTACTATAATTAACATAAGAAAAATTAAAATTATCTTTTGTAAATACTATTTATCTAATTAAAATTATTTTTCCTACTTTTCATCTCTTGTTTCGAATGGGCACTTTTGGTCAATTACGTTATAAAACATTAATTTAATTCATGTCTGTGGAAACGAAAATACAAATTATACAACCCTAAATTGTGCTTGTGTGTGTGTCGTGGCAACGCCGCGTTTTTATCGTCCATAAGAAATACATGGCCCTATATCCGCAATGTTATTTTCTTAACGTGGAACGTAGTATAGTGGTACTGAACTTCCTGGAATGATCCAGGCGGTTTTTCCCTTACACCGACTGGCGTTATATTATTTTACTTTTTATTTTTATTTTATATTATTTTATATGAATATATATATATATATATATATATATATATATATATATATATATATTCATATATATATATATATATATATATATATATATATATATATATATATGTATATATATATATATTGTTGTATTTTTGAATGTCCACTAGCAATAAAAACCGATATACAAATTTTATTACTTAAATAAAAATTAAGATTATTGATATTTCATAAAGACACGGGCATATAAAGTTTCAAACATCCTGTATAAGACAAAATATGTATTTTAAGTTGTTCAAAGAATTGTTCATTAGGCCTCAGAGACAAGACTTTCAAATATTATCGATAAGAAATTTAAATAAGTCGGTTATTGTGAAATGGATTTACCCGTAATAAAAGTGTATATAGAAAGTGTTTAAACAATAGACCGGGATGTGCGGTGGTTTTTCCCCCCGAAAGATTATATCGGTAAAAGTTTATTAACAAAAGACATTGAATTGAGAAACAGGTATCGTTTGTAGCTATTAGTAAGAAATATTTGTAAAGCAGATAGATTTAGCTAGAATAATTAAAGAATGTTGTTTTCTGGAATTACCCGAATGACGTTTTATAGAGAGAGTTGGTTGGTAACAATATACGTGACAGAGGTAGAAGATTTTTATTGGTCAATTTTTGAATGCAAGGAGGGAGTGGTTTTAGCTATGAGATAGGAGAGAGGAAAGGAGTTAGTCAGTTTTCGTCGCCCAAGAAGGAAGGAGCTTTGTGGTTTGTGTTTGTTTGAAGTCCCGAAGACGTAATTTACCGGGTGTGTTTATTTGCGGTGTAAAAGCTGATGAGTGTGAGGAACGGGGTACAGAGAGATAGAAAAACCAAAAGGTTATAAGAATATTAATAGCAGACGAAGCCGGAAACATTTGAAGTTATAAACAGGCGCGGAGATTGGTTCAAAAGGAGGCTGCATAGAATTACACGAGTTGTTGGGTTGCAGATACAAGGACAGAGAGGAGAAAGGTGTACGTCTTCTGGACCAAAATAGGAGCAGAAGCAGAGAAAGGTTTTTTTTTATGGCGTGGCCATAGAATTGCAACGACAGATAACGAAAGGTCAGTCAATTTTCATTAGAGCAGGAGTGTGGTTTTCATTTATAAATTAAATAAATTGAATAAATTATAGAGACAGTTAATTTTGCGATCATTTAAAAAAGAAAAAATTATAAAGAGAGCTTAGTTATAACACATATCAAAAATCAATGTAAAATAACATTTGGGTCCATGATAGAAAACAACTTCTCATATATTTAAAGTATTGTATTGCAAATATTACCGGATTGATTGTTATATAAAATTTCAATAAAATAAAGGACATCTCACATATACTTCAGTTGAAATTCTGTGTATTTTATTCAGGTCATATTACCTATCCCAATTAGGAAGCCAATTGGAAAATATTTTGAATCCACGATCAAAGGTAAATAGTACAAGTTAAATATCCTGAGATTGTAATTAATTAATGCTGATTTATTGTGATTAATTGGAGATTAGATCATTTAATAAATATAGACAGGATCTTTTCTAAATAAGCAATAGAATACAATTTAAATAGCATAACAAAATGGCGCCCAACGTGGGGCTTTGAAAAATATTTCTAGTTGGCAAATTTGAAAGGATAGGAGTAGACGAGCAGATATTTGAAAGTTTATATGCCGTGGATAAAGTGAAATATTATGTAAAATTTGAGGACATAAAGATTTATATATTTTTTTTAAGATACAATTTACCATAATTGATTTATTCGTGATATTGACAATTTATAGGTTACCATAATTGATTTATTTGTGTGATATTTACATTTGATAATTTTACCATACGTGATTTATTTGATTGAATTTGACATTTGATATTTTACCATTTGATTTATTTGTGGGATATTGAAATTTGATACTCGTACTCAAGAGTTATTACATTTGAACAAGAAAAGTCCCGTTTGTTGCAACAGACCAGTAGAATTTTATATTTGGCGGGGATAAAAACAGAATAAATGCCAAACACAAGAAACAAGAGCAAAGAGAACAAAAAACAAGAAGATAAATC